CCCCCCTCTTGGACTGTTTTCACGGCGAGTTTTTAGGCACAAAATATCCTACACAAAATCTTAATAAAATTCAGCTTATGGGAACACAAATCAATATCTTTCAAGCCCTTGGACATTGTGTTTTGCCAATTTTAAAACTCGATTTTTAATCACGAATTAAAATGACATATTGATTTTTCACGCACTCAATTCGAGTACTTAGGATGTAAAATTTTACAAGAGGCTTTTCTAAACTCGCAAAAGTAGCATCCTAACTGAATAAATATTCACTGGTAGGATAAAAACAACGGCGAATTTGATAGGCAATGTGGCTGGGACTGCATATCCTCATGACAACAACACCACTCTGTATCAAAAAGCCTGGTAGTTAGATGATTGGCAGAGTGTTAGTGGGATTGAGCAAAGCAAATATTTGATTATTTACCCTGACAACAGGTGATGTTGATCAACCGATGCTATCATCTCCTATTTTTGACTTCAAATTACATATCCAGTCGAACTCAGTGAATTATTACCTTTATTTATCTATTTATTTAATTCATAATAAACTTTTCAGTAGATTCGTCAGTTATCGGTCACCTATGTTTAATTGCAGGTAATCTCAGTAAGTATACGCTTAATAAATTTCACTATTGCTTATTTTCTGAGAATATTATGTTTATGAAAATTAGTAAAAAATCTTTACTCACAAATTCAATGGACTTTAACCATTTCAACTGTGAAAGAACAGAAGGAAAATGAACTTTATCGACGCCCCTGACCTAAAAGTTTAAAACAAACGAAACACGAAGCGATATTCCAAGTCAATTTAATCAAAGTCGATGGACCTCATCCTATTAACTTGTAAAAAAAGCTGTTAGTGTGATATGATGCCGACCATCCAAGCTCAAACTCGCAGAGCTGACATTTTGTGAGGGGATGAGCTATTTCCGTGGCGGTCTCTGAATTTCCCATCATCCCAATCAATATGCTGGTAGAGGCCAGTCCTGACAACTTGGCAGTTAATTGGGTCAAGACTTTTAATAGTTCCGCGGTGTTATGACCTCTAGTAAAAGCGGTATGAGGATGATTTCCATTCGCAGTCTTTGTTGAGTTGGCCACTTGATGGCACAACGAATTAGGAAGATATTTATATGAGCACACAAATATATATATATATATATACACTTATTTGCTTACCTGTTTGCTTTGCTATCATGAATTAATGCCAGTAGAATAGCAGTCCAGCAGTTGGATTATCGGAATTGTAAAAATATTGTCTGAAGCGATCGAAATATTCTTCGATTAGCACATACAAAGATTATAAATTTAATTGCATTCGCTCTTGTGATTCTCAATTACGTCATTTCTCAAAGGACAGCAAATCTTTAGGCAAAAATATATAACGCTGTACACTGAACATTTAGCCCAATAATCTCTCTAATGTATTTGTTTAGCTCAATTAAAGTATGGCACATTACTAAACAATAATTAAGCGAGATGATATGAATATTCTTCTGTTTTTACTCATGCCAATTTTAAGTTCATAATTACAAAAGCTGGGTTATTGATATTGCAAGTTAAATCATTAGGAAATTCATCCGAGCAACGGAATCTTTCGTCAATTCCTCTATCCGTCACCTAATCTACCAATCCAACTTTATTATTTTGAGCGCATACGATGTTTTCGTCCCAGTCGACCGACAACGACGACAGTTAATAGTAGATAGACCGAAGAGATATGAGGATGAGGAGTCTGGACGGCGCGCAGAACTTTGATCTATCATCGGCTACACACCCACCTTCTTCATCCCTCCCCTTCCTATTGCCACCCCACCCGAGCTTTCATCTCCGTCCCTCTCTCTCTCTCTCCCTCTCTCTCTCTGCGTCTCTGATGTCGCGCGTCCAGTTTGATGATGAGAAAAGCTCAGCAGAGGAGGAGGTGGTGGAGGAGGAGGAGGAGGAGAAGGAGAAGGATCAGTCGATTGTACCGCTCGATGAGGAGAGAGTGCCGATGAAAAACATTGTCGGTAGTGAGAGAAATATAGCCGTCATTAGAAGAGAGATACAGACTGATATAGGGGGGGGTGGGTGGGTGGTAGAAGGGTGGAGAGAAGAAGGGAATTAATACGAGAGAAAGAAGTTAATCTACTCTCTCTCTCTCTCTACTCCAGATGAATTATACTTCCTTCTCCACTCCTCCCCGTCTCTCTCCCTCTCACTCTTGTGACTTGGCATCGGATTTCGGATCAAATCTGAAATACACAGAACATAGTCAAATTAATCAAATTTTACTGAATCATGTAGTCTATCATGCCACCTTTGTTTATTTTTTATTAGGCTGTGATGGCCGTCATGTTCAAGGAAGTACTTTATTCACCGACTGTGCAACTAATTTGCTCTTTTGAAGCCAAGCGAGAAGGGCACTTGTTGTCAATATGCTGGCAGTTAGTGAGGGTCCAGCTAATAAAGAACTGAGTTCATTTAACTAATCAGGGGAAAACATGTGAGACAGGGGCATAAAGACTAACATCTTTTGACGAAATAAATCGTAGTTCTGATCTGTTTTTTTGACAATTAAAAGTAGAATTAGAGAAAGACAAAATAAATATATAAGACTGAGTATTTATGAGGATCCATTTGACGATTCAAACAAGTTTAAGAAGTGGAAATTCGAAAAAAAGAAATATGATCTGAACTTTGATTCGACCCACTTTATGTTTACTTCTACGAGTTGCACCAAAAAATTAAAAAAATACCATATTAATGGGATAACCTAGCTGTCGGAAAAAAACTATTTTCTCTTTAGGATGCGTTAATTCACCCCAACTCATAGATTCCATTTTTATCAATCCAAATTAGAATCTCGCATACTTTAAAATTTCCGCTTTTGGCAATAACCAATATTTATTTATTTATTTATATCAAATGGCAGGCGTTTTGATGGTTATCATTAGCCCTTTAGTTGACTTCAGGCTTCATAGAGGGGAAGGAACATCAAAGTCAAAAAATTCGAGTGGAGGGGTACTGAAGAGTGTTTCAAAGACGAAGGTTGAAAATTTAGAAAAAATGTGATGTAGTACTGTGGAAGTGGTCGAATATGCCATACAGTGGGGTCATGGTAGTTTAAAGTCAAATTTTTTACTGTATGAGTATACGTTGCCCAGGGTGCACCACGTGGAGGTAAGTCTATCGCACACCCCAGCCCTTGAAGTTGTGTGTTTGCTTTGATACTACCTTCATGGCATTACTATGTCCTTATTGAAGAAATTGTTAATGGGGGGGGGTGACTATTTTACTTTAAAAGTCCCATCCGAAATGGTGCAATATCGATTTTTCTGATTTTAATACTGAAAATGACATTCAGCAGAAACGTTTTTAATAACTAATCAAATTGACATTTGAATTCCCTTATCATGACAGTGGCTTTTTCTGCCCATGAAAGAAAACCGAATCTTCTGAATATTTAGACTATGGGAGACCGATTTCTTCTTCCTTATTATTTTCTTAGTGTTCAAAGGAATAAGTATAAAATCTGACGATTTTTTTGTTGAAGTCGAACCGCATAATTCCACTGTGCAAACACCTCAAGAGTTGCGTTTCCACGATTTGCCTAGTCATAGCACTGAGCTCATAGTTGTATGTTGAGTAGGAAATGCGCACAAATTAACTAGAACTAATTGATATATATATATATATATATATATATATATATATATATATATATATATA